CTTCAGCTATTTCTGATGATCCACAAGTGTGTCCCTCGAAGTCCCATCTATGGTGTGTTGACAAAAACTACAAAATAATTTATTGCCATCATAATAAAAATCATGACAGAAAGCTGGCTCTTCAGCTCTGTATTTTGCTGAAAGTGTGAACCCACCAAGTTTGCTAGCTTTTCATTTACGCATCATGAAAGATCATCAAAGTGGCATTTAAAAATCTAATTTAATTACTAAACAAACAACAACTTATTTTTACTACCCTTGATGGCACATGCCATGCTATTCATATGCTAATATTGCACTTGAGTATTTGCCTTGTGGTAACCAGTTTGGTTAATATCATGAATTAGGTTATGGTGCTTGCATATTACTGGAAAATACCCTATGTTATTTATAGAACGACATGCTGCAGCAATATAGGTCATAGTGCTTGTGCATAAGTGAGTGAATTCACTGTGTATTGTAAATTTATACAAAATAATGATTGTCAAGTTCTAGCTCAGGAATTTTACCTGTCAGAATATTTTATTTTTTTGATAGCAAAAATCATGTTTCCCATGATTTTCCATTTTCTACTTTATTTGTTTTTTTTTTTCTTCTCTCCAAATCACAGAGAACTTGCCACTCTAGGCTACAGAGAAAGAAAATGGGAAAGGTCACACCATTCATTATATGGATATAAATACTAGTTATAGAAATATATCTAAATAGACTGGTACATGTAGCAAGGTTTTAGTTTAAAAACCTATTTCCATTTACCCTAGAACTAGAATTATATGCAGATATAAAATTCAAATTTAGCTATTTAAAATCTTGAAGCTGGCTTATAAATGGAATTGAATATTTTCATGTATTGACAATGTTGAATGGTAATAATGGCACAGTAAAATGGCCCCAGTAAAAATGAATTGGTCACAACATAAGATCCCAGCCATTAAATTCCGTTTTTAAAAAGGTTGATATAAAACAGTGTAATCAGGTCTAAACATTTGATTTTATTATAATTGTTTTCCATAAATTTTAAAGGAATAAATTTATATTAAATGGAGGTAAAACTATTCTTTGCTAATATTAAAAAATAATAAAAGGTTATGATATATTAAAAAAAAAAAAAAAAAAATAGATTTTATTCAAAACAACATTTTTGCCAATAGTGTATATTTCAATAAACTTATTTTTTCCTATTTTTTTTGTCCCCCCCCACTTGTGCCATATTATTCATTGACAATACAAACCACGTGATTAGTAAATATGTGAACATTTTGTGGATGGATTAATAAGTCACATGAAATTAGGTAAATTTTGATTTTAAACTGTCGCTGTATAAAGTTTCATCTATGTGATTAATATTCCCCATTGAATTAAGTGCATTAACAATGAAAGATTACAATGAGAAACATTGCTTGAGTAAAATGCATTTTTTCCCAACATTAGACTATAGATTAATTGATGTATTTAAGCATATATGAAAATTTTTTTTTTTTATATATATTTGATTCTTGCTAATTAATAGGCTGCAAAGAAAGTTCAGTTGAGAAGATGTTAGCCATTAAAAGAGATATATAAAGAAGTTAATTTGGTAAAAATATTGTTTTGTTCTTTCCTCCTCAGTTCCATTAAAGTGTGTAAAATGGGACTGCAGCTGCAAGTAGTTTTAATTCAGCATTGTCATTCTCCTAGACTGGTTCCCAGCAAAGGCCATAGAACCCAGTCCTCCCTCCCCAACCCCCAGTAATGTTCATCCTGTATAATGGCCAAGATCCACTCAAGGTAGAGGGTTACAGAGTAAGAGGCACAGTTTATGGGGATATATGGGGAAGATAACATTAACTCCAGACTTGAACAGGTTAAGATTGTAATGATCTGGGAAGCAACAAAGCAGCAATTCATGGAATGAAACTGCTTGAGTGAAATTTACATCTTACCAATCCCAAAAGTATTTGCGCAAAAGTGAATACTAGGCCGAAATTCATACTTGACACACCAATTTTACTTTGTGTGCTGATCATTGCTATGCAAACATGTTTTTATTCATTTTTCATAAGAAGCAAGATTCTCCACGTGTCATATCATACTTTTCAGAGTTTATGAAAATCAATAGAATCATAATAGATAAAAGTCTTAATGTATTTATATATTAATATGTATTGGGCAAAGATTTGAAAGGAGAAATTAAAAAGGCAATAAAAAATGAGGAACGTTATGTTTATTACTACCAAGTAAGAAAATTCTTTATTTCAAATTCTTTCAGTGGTTAGTCTTACACTTATAAGATCTCTCTCTTGGTTTCAATCCCTAGGAATGATTGCAAAACATGTGCACCTCGACCATTTTATTGGCAGAAGCACACAAATGCTGTGATTTTTTTTCCCTAGCCAATAAAATAGGCTGGTTCTCAGTTTCATATGACTCAGTCCCAGTCTGTCTTGAAGCCAGAATTCTACATTTGCTTTTCCAAAGTTGTTTGTGTATGTCAACCCCAATTTTTAGTTTATGAACTTTCTGCCTTATTACTGTTGCTTTGCCTTGCATATATTGTTTGCTTGCTTTATATTATTTTTTTTACCCTGTTCTTTTTTTCTTGTTATTGCAAACTGTCGATTCTGTTTGTTGGACAATTCTGTTACTTATTTTGCATTTGACCATGGTTACTCACTACTCTGTTATCAGGTAACAGTAATATTGGCCATTTCCTAATGTAGAAACATTTAGCATTTACTGACTAAGCAGTGAGTGCTCTTGTTGAGTGAAGTTTATAAAATCTTTCTATTAAAACAATTGTACAGGAAAATAGGTTTCCCAAGTCCACTAACTTATTGAGAATACTGGTAACTGTACTGTACACTTGGATATACAGTGAGGAGGGGGGGTGGGGTAATGGATAATGGCTCAGAATTGTTAATTGGAGAGCAGGTTCAATTCCAATTGGGTTTGTTATATTCACTTATGCACAAATACCTTTAGGAAAGGTATGAATCCATCTCTTTCCCAGCTATGTATTAATTAGTAAACTGTATCACTAAATCATTATATAAAAAAAAAAAAAAAATTTACTCTAAAAATATTTTCTGGCTTTAAATAACCTGCAAAGTGTTGATAAGATGTAGACAATGAAATAAATCAATAAATTAAAAAACTTATTGCTCTTTCAAGTAATGATGGTGAGGTGGGGGTTCCTTCCTAACCATTTGTTTGAAGTAGTGTGGAACATCTTGATGCCATTATTTTCTCTTCAAGTTATGTGTACTATCCATTTCAGTTGTTGCTGAAAGTCTTAAAGTGATGACATTTGTTATCTTTTACAAATACAGGCAATGTGCCTTAGAGAAGAAAAAAAATTTTGCCCTTATGCTTTATTGTTTAAAAAATGAATAAGGTGAAATATTATTTCATGAATGATATAAACTAGAATATTGGTCTTTTCTTTTTAACATTTTCACTGGTAATTTTTTTAGCCCTACTCAGCTGGGTGTATGTGACAAAGTAAAAATTTGAAAATATTTATTTTTATTCTTTTCCAATATGAAGTTTTTTCTTTTCTTTACATTTTCTTCTTTAAAAACATGGTGTTTTTTTTTTGTGTGTGAAACCTTGGTGTATATTTTATATTTATTTCTATTTAGAATTTAATTATAAATAATTTGTTTTTTTTTTTTTAATACAGAGGCAAAGAATATTGCAAGAAATTATCGAGTAGATTTTGTGGAACCTTGACAGATAAAACAAAACTAAAAATAGCAAGCTGTCTTATAGAGAAGACAACTATGCACATATAGGCATATCTCTCTCACATGGGGAGAGGGGTGAAGTTGCCATAAGATCCACCCACTACTCAATGTTTCACATAACCTACAGATCAACAATTTCCTATAATATTTTATGCACAGACATCTATTTTTGTATTCAAAAGAATTTGCAAAAAACTGGAAAATGCCAACACTTTGCACAAGAAACTTTTTTTTTGCACATGCACAAAGATGCATTATTTAAACTATTAATCATTATATGCCCCCCTCCCATACACTTGAGGATGGTTGGAAAAATGGACCTGCCAAAATGTGCTTAAAACAGAAAAGATGAAAATATTAGTTTGCATGATTCATGGAGTAATTTATGATCTTGTGTAAAATGAATTTTATTAAAACAAATATATTTTATCACAGTATGAAGTGTAAAATATTTGCTCACAACTTAGTTGTCCATTAATTAATTAGTCAGTATACTAAATAGTATATCTATGTGAATAGAATTAAGTTGGCATCAGTAATTTTTACCTGAATGTAGTGTCAAATCATTTCTACTAGTATGCTGAGAAATATTTATGTCCTATCTTAATACCGTGTATTCTTAGATTGAAATATTTACAGGAATAAAAATGCATTTTTTTTTTTTGTATATTTTTTTCCTACTGACTTTTTTTTTTTTTTAATTTGATTCATAGAAGTTATTGAATAAAATTATCTACATTTAAAAACATTTTTAAAACATTGAGAGTAAAATTTAAACATTTCTTCATTGTGCACAAGCATAAAAAATAAAATTAAAAAAAAAAAAAAAAAATGATTTTCTCTATTGTTTTATGCTTACAAATATTTTGGTTTCTATCATGCTTTGAAATTATTTCAAATTAATTCACTTCAAATATTCATAAAATCATTTCTTGTTGCTGCAAATATTTTCAAATGTGTTACTAAAAATATATTGGAGTGGGGAACTGGAAAAATAAACAACAACAAAATGTATTAAAAAAAAAAAAAAAAAAAAAAAAAAATTGTTAAACAAAATTATCCCAATTGCTAAATGAATTCTTGCTTTTGGGTACAAGAGACTGGACACACTAGCCTCTTTTTTTATGTATTACAAGAATTAAATCATTGTTATTCCACCAAATATGATGTTTATTCTTTTCTCAAAATTAAGTCTCACTTAATTCCAAACAAAGGTTCTTTTTTTTTTTTCATAAACATTGTTTTGACTAATATTTTTTTCATCTTAATTTTTAGTGCTTTTTCATCACAACTTACTTCGACCATCTTACAGCTGCAAGCAGTGTAAATTAATAAGAAAAGGTAAAGATTCTAAAGTTTATCTTTTATTAATTTCGATTCATGTTATTTGTTTGTTGCTGCAGGCCAATGGCCTTAGTAAGTTATAATAAAAGAAAAAAACAAAATCCCTGCCTATTTAAATGGTTCTTTGAGCTTATGAAATTGCTTTTAAAAAAAGAGTTCTCATTCTATTTTCATCCTCTTTGTTTTCTAAATTGATTATCTTACTTTTATTAGTAATATTTAAAATTATGGCACCTTACATTGGAGTAAGAGTTAGCAAGTTTATTACCTATTATTATTGCAGTGAATTCAGTCTCAATTGAGTGCTTCACACTTGTGGCTTTGTGCAGACTAAGCTAAGCTCAGTATTGTACAACCCTTAAAAGGGGAGAAAAGTTTAGAAATGTGTACACTACACAGAAAAAAAATCCAAAAGGGAAATAAAACAAATATTAGGTTCCTAAGTTTAATACCTTTTAATGATGATAATACATAAGTAAAATGAAGTTGTGCATTCTTTGCACCATCTCTCACTTCTTTTCTCCAAGAAGTATGCATAAAGACAAAGCACTGCCATTGACTTGTTCTTCCAAGTAGGCAAATACTCCAAGAAATTATATAACCTCATGAATCCTTGGAGTTGTTTAGACAATTCATTAATGAATGATGTTTGCATATCCGGGAAAAGTTTAACTCATTAATTGGTAATATCAGCTGAACTCTAATGAAACATCAATGATGCCCGATGGCTAAAAAATAAAGGATTGATTTTTTTTGCAGTTTATCAACCTTTTGTGGGTTGTTTAAAGACAAAACATTTCGGATTGTAAGATTTAGCTTACAGTCCCTGGTGTTCCCAAGTAATCCTCCATTTAAGTACTGACTGGGCTCAACACTGCTTAACTTTGGTGATCAGATAACTGGTGTTTTCAGCATTATTTCACCATAAGCATTTAAGAATTAAAATCATTTGCAGTTTCCTATTGCAACTCCGGTTAAATAGCTTTCAAAAATCTCAAGGTCTTATTGACTAGTTTTGTCAAATCCATATTTAACATTTTCAAAAACTCAAAGATTCTTTAATTTTATTCAGTGTTTAGATTAACAGACTGACAATGAAGGAGCATAAACTTTAATCCAAAAGGTCATTGCCTCACTGAAGTAGACAAATATTTCAGAAAACAACTAAAATGGCTTTACTCCCTGGCAGTTTTGAATTTGTGAAATTTGCTTTACTTTCATAAATGAAAAGAAAAATTTGCTATAGCTAAATGTTAGAGAATATTATTGAATGAATGTATCTATTTAGTTAAAGATTCATCAGTTAAAGATATTGATTCTTAATATTTTATGGCAATTTGTTTCAGAGATGTAATTTGAAGTGAAGTTTTGCACTTGTATCCCCTTTCGATAAATCTTTTTTTATATCTTTTCTAAGACCGATAACTCAAATGGCTTAACAGTTCTTAGAAAGTGTAGAAAGATTCATTCTTGGCCATTGAAAGTGGAACAGCTCTCACTGTCATTCAATTGCTTTTGAAATTGCAATAAAATATTTCAGAAACTTTCACAATGCATTTGTATGCTTATTAAAACAAAAAAAACAACAACAAAAAAAAAAAAAAACAAAAAAAAAATCTATTAATACAGCATGATCAGTTTTGTACAAAGTCAACTAAAAGTAAAGCCATCAAAGTTTTTATTTTATTTTTTATAGCAATTTCCTATTTCTCAACTTTTACTATTTTTTTCTTCATGAAAATATTTTGATTCATTCCAAAATGAAATATTGGTCTGCTTGGGAACAATAAATCAAAACATATATACAAGGCAGGGAATTTTTTTTGGTATTATTTTTCTTCCAATTGACAACTTCTGAGATGAGGTTTCTTTTTCATTTTTAAATGACGATGATCCTATACTTTTAATGGGGGCTCACAAAATTCCTTTTGCAATCACTTCTGACTTAACTATTTGAAAAGGTTTGCAAAATTGTAAAAATAATCAATCTTCAGTTATTATCTTGTGAGTAAAACTATTTGCAAATATGTTTTATATTGCTTACTCTATTAAAAAAAGAAAAAGAAAATCAATAAAATCAATTGCTTTAAACAAAAGACTTAGATTAATTTTATACAAATGTACCAAAAGAATGTACCAAAAGTTTCTTTATTGTAATAAAAATGCTGAAGGTTGAAAATCAACTGTTTTAATCTGAAATACAACAGTGTTTATAAAATAGGATTAAAATAAAGTAACTTTGGGGCCACCCAGTGGCTCTAAATATGAATAGTTTGGAAGAATTTATAAGCTTTATTTTCTATCTATTTTAAATGAACTTTATTAAAAAAAAAAAAAAAAAAAAAAAATGTACAAAGCTTTTTTTTTCTTTTTCTAATTTCCAGTATAATTTTCTAAAAATCTGTCAAAAAGTAATATGAATATTTAGAAGACACTAGTGAATGAGATTTTTGAAATATTATATTAAAAGATCTTTTATTTTAATCTAGCATTTTTGTTGATTGATGAAATGGTAACAGTTCTTAAAATGAACATGAAGTGGTTTTCATCCTGAAACCACGAAGTTGCCAGTTCTTATATCCAGTCAGGCAAGTCCAATTAATCCTCATTTATATTGATGTTCATAAAATTGGAGGCTTTATATAGAACAAAAAATGATAAGACAAACGCTTGTGACAAATGATCACTATCTGGCCTCTGCAGGTTCTGACAGGCTTCCTAAGGAAATCTAAACTATTTAAGCACTGGTCAGCGTCATACTTGTAAAATCCAAATGACTTGAATAAATATCATGTTATGATTAGTGTACAGTCCAACTAAAGTTTTCCTAAAATATTTGAGATGATGCTTTGCTGAATATTAATTCACGTTCAAATTGAAATTAACAATCTGGAAACTTTTCTTGCAAGTGCCCAAAACGATGTAGGCAAGCACAAGCAGGGTTTTGCATGTACTAATATTTTTTGGTTTAGGTGTTACAATTTTGAAACTGTCTGCTGATCTGGTCTTTTAAGTAAACAAGAACATGACAACACTATTTACATATTTACAGATACCGAAGAACAGGACTGATTGCAGGAAGATTGGAACACTTAATATTCATGGTTCCAGAAGATATATCCAAATTGATTAAATCACACTAATAATGTGTAATCAAATGACAAAATGGAAACCTAAATAAGACATTTCAACTTTAGAACAACTGAATAATGGTTTTATCAATGGAGTCAGCATATATAAGAATCACATAGTTCTTCATCACTCAATGCTATATAAAGTTTGGCAATAATACTCTTTTTTGAAACCTTTTATTTTGTTTTTAATTGTCAATTTGTTTACAATTAAAATCTATTTTAATCGTGTTACAATTTTCCCTCCTCATTCATTATTTACAAGTGTCATTGATTATTTTGTTGTGTGTGCCAATGTTCACCTTTTGATAAATTATTGGCCAAAAAGGTCTCCTAAAGGTAAAATGACATCCTCTCTATGTAAGTATTTTCTTCTTCTGCAGGTATAAGTCTTTATTTGTATATTTTCATCATAGGTACCCCAGAAATGTCATCAACCAACTCAATCACCCTATTCAGTTGTGTCACAAGGTTAACTCAGTATCTGTCTATATTTCCGAGATGAGGTATCATGTACACTATTTACATTATTTGGACTAACACTTATCCACTGTGCCATGTGTCCTTGATGAGTTTTAGTTAGATCCAGTGGCAGGACCCAAAGAGTGTGAGTTCAATACCTGGTTAAGGTTTTGGAGAACTTTCAGAGGGGAATTAACAGGTGATAACTGACATCCATTAGACATGGCATGTGGAACTAGAAGAGTCTACCCCAGTAAGCGAAACAAAAGGTTCAGTTCGACATTCCAACCACCTGAAGAAGGCTGGAGCGTACAACGGCTGAAATGTGATAAACATGGCGGCCAAGATGAGGACAATAGTCCAAATAATGTAAATAGTGTACAAGGTTAACTCCTTGAGATTAAAACGATCTTTTCTCTCGTCATGTAATATTGTCCTGTCTTTCATGAGACAAAAGTTGTTGAAAATTAAAATCTGTTCTTTTTCAGTTGAGCAAGCCTTTATCAAACGGGAGTTAGATAAATTGTTTGATTATTCCTCTTCATGCTTGCGTCTGTTTCATTTTATCCTGAGTAAAATCAGAACCAGAGTAACGTTTTTTTGAATTCTTTCATTTTCCTCGTTATCTAACATCAAGTCACAGTTAGAAAAGTGTGTTACAACAAGGGATAAGAATTACTTGAATAGCCTTGTCTCTATAAGGTTCAGAGTTGACAGTGGAAATTCCAATAAACACATTTCCAATTTTTCCAGTGTTACTCTGACTGAGATTGAACAGATGGTTCTTTTGTGGACTTGATTTCTGCATTCCCCACTCCAAAATTAGCAAGGAACAGATATTTTCTGAATTTGAAATTCTGTATTCTCAAGTCAACATGTTCCTTCCTCTGCTGATAAACGTTCCAGAATTAAAGTTAGACTGCTTTAATTGTCCAACAAATATTCTTCCCTCACTGCTGAGCAGGATTTTCTTGCATGGCAAAGTGTTCATTCTTGGACTATCAAATCCTTGAAGTTTAGAAATGATGTTTATATAAGTAAGTCTGATAAGAGTTCTGGCATAGTAATCTTAAACAATCAAGATTATATTGATAAGACTGCTATTATTTTGAAGGATTCCTCTAAATTCAAGAGGATTGGTCCTACTAGTACAAGTGATAATACTAGTAAGGTTGAAGCAAGAATTCCAAGATAGTTGCTTTCAGTATACAAGAACTCTAAAGATGTTTATAATAGAGTTAGACCTGTCAGTTCTCAACTGCCCAGAATGTATGGACTACCTAAAGTGCATAAAACTGGTGTACCACTTGGACCTATTTTATCTATGATAGGGTCTGTGCAGCATGAGTTGGGTGAACTGCTCCAGTCTGTATCTGATCACTTTTCAACCCATAATATTTCTGACTCGTTCAAGTCTTCAAATTTTATTAGAAATTTGGAAGTCAGCTCAGAAAATAAACTGATGGTGTCTTTTGATATTGTCAGTTTGTATAACAATGTGCCTCTTCAGGACACCATTAATATATGTTCTGATGATTTTTATAAAAGGTACTTTGGGCCCCACTAATATTCCTGAAAACTTGTTTTTGGAATGTATGCGTCTCATGACTGAAGAGGTAGAATTCAATTTCAACAATATCATGTATGCTCAGAAAGACGGGGATTCAATGGGTAGTGCTTTATGTCCCATACTAGCTAATATTTTCATGGGTTTTCATGAGGGACTTTTGTTTGAAATGTGCCGTAAGCCGTGTGTTTACATGCGGTACATTGGGGATACCCTTTCCATTTTTAATTCTGCTAGTGATGCCACTGACGTTTTTTTGTGAAACTTTATTCTCGCCATCCATCCCTTCAATTTACTATGGATATTGAAGAGTAATGGTATGTTGCCCCTTTTTAGATGTCAAATGTAAGGATGGTGCTTTTGTCACTAGTAGTTTTTTTTTTGAAAACCTACATTCACAGACTTGTACACAAACTGGAACTCTTATTCCTAACGCCCACAAGATTGGTTTAGGTTCCACCTTGGTCCATCATGCTTTGATGATTTGTTCTCCCAGCATGTTAAATGGAGAACTTGCAAGGATCCAAGAAATTTTTGTAGAAAATGATTTTTCTACTAAGTGTGTTATTGAATGTAAAATCAGATGGTTTAAAGAGCCAGTGGTTTTAGGACCCAGCTGGTGTCCAATTTACCTAAAATTGCCATTGTTAGTCAGGAAGTGCCAGTTGCTTTGTGCTATAATGCCACAAAGCTGCATACTGTCTTTCAAACTAGATCTATTTTAATAGTGTTACAATTTTCCCTCTTCATTAACTATTTACAAATGTGTAATTGATTATCTTATCTTGTTTTATGCACCAATGTTCTCCTTTTGATAAGGTGCTGACCAAAAAGGTCACCTAAAGGTAAAATGAAGCCCTCTCTATTTAACTATTTTCTTCTGTGGGCATAAGTGTCTCTCTCTCATATATAAATTTTTGGATATCATATCTTCTGTAACGATGAATATTAAGTGTTCCAATCTTTCTGCAATCAGTCATGTTCTTCGGTATCTGTAAATATGTAAATAGTGTTGTTACGTTCTCATATATAAAAATGCAAAAGAACAAAGGGTAAAATTTCAGCATTCAAAACATTAATTTAAAACAGAGTTCAAGACAAAAATAGTGCCGTAAATATTTATTTATTATGCAGTGTTACATTAGAACATGCACACTACAAAAGATGTACAGTTTTGTAGTGGGTATGTGCATGTTCTAATATAACACTGCATTATATATATATATATATATATATATATATATATATATATATATAGTGTGTGTGTACATTATTGTAGATTGTGTGTATGTATGGAAGGGATGGGAGGAAATACAAACTGGTTATAATTATACATTTATTTTTATTTTAGATTCAAGGATGCTTCAGTATGACCATAATTTTAACTTAGAATGCAGAAAAGGGAAAGTAATTTATTGAAGTAAAAATGTATTAAATGTGCACTAATTTCAGAATATAAGTTTACATCCAATATCAATTATCATACCTCCTTTTCCTAATGAAACTACTGCTGATATGTGGGATATTTAAAAATGTAGTATGTATGTGACTCCATTGATAAAACCATTATTAGTCTAGAGTAATTCCTTCGAAGAACAAAACATGTTACTTAGAGTTTTTACCAGTATATTATTCCATTATTGGCTATGTTATTAAAGTCATTGTTATAAACAACTTTATAATATTTAAAAAAAATAAATAAATAAAAAAAAATAAAAATAATTGATTGGAAATTTTAATTTTTGATTTGTTCTAAAGTGTTTGCAACTGAATCTTTTAATAACATTATAATCAATAGCTTCCTCCAGATTTTATTTAGTTGCTGTGTAAATGTGAAAGTGCAGTTGTAGGAGTTTGTAAATGTACAATAATTTTAGAAGCAAGAAAAAAATTGATTTGTAACCTCAATTTTGCAGTTTTTTTTCCTTTCAAATTAGTAAGATTAATTTAATTAATGTGACAAAATCACAAATTAGGCACAATTTCTGGGATGGGGAGTTTATAATATTTACATGCAGACTATTGTACCCATCTTTGTTGTTATGTTTCAGCCCTTATGAATAATCTATCCCCATAGATTAAATAAAGGGCTCATTTTGAAATTCTCTGAAGGTTACCCAGATCAATAAGCACCTGATGAAGGCTGAGGGGAAAAAGCCAAAATGTGATAGCAACAAAGATTAGGGAAATGATCCACGTGTAAATAATGTAAAGAAATTTGGTACGTTTTACTTTGTTATTGCGGCCATTTTATTGATTCAGTAATTACACAATTTTCATCTTTGCCAATGTAAATGATAATCAGAATTTATGATTGGAATTTATAATCTTTGGGATGAGGAGTGTTCAAAAGTTCTTAGCCCAATCCAAAAATATCTTATTTGGTTAGAGTCTGGGAAGTGGGTTACATCAAGAACTTTTCAGTATACCCTTGCACACTAACAAAACAAAACAAAAAAAAACAAAAAAAAAAACTAGCCAGTAGAGACCTATTATCTAACAAAGATCAGCATTTTGCTGATTGTAATTGTGAATAGCAAAATCTGCAAAATGCTTGAACAACATATTCAAAATTATTAATCCTTTTAATCTCTTCCTCAAGTTCTTGGTCTGCCTTTATTTCATCTTTACAAATGTTTCAAAGTTAGCATTCTTTTCTTTGAAGTGTTAACCTATACAAAAGTCCAGACTTAAAATATTTGTGGTAAAAAAAAAAAAAAAAAAAAAAAAGTTATAAAAATATTGAGTAAAAAATGTTTTTCAATAGTTTTTTTTTCTTGAAAAGACATGAAAATTTTATAATTATTACTAAAATACCAGGCATCTGTACATCATATTTTGCATTTACAAGCATTGCAAATTTGCAAAATGCTCATATGCCAAATTAGCCTTTCATTTATGTTGTCTTATTA